GAGGATGCCCTGTGGTTGTGTCTTAGGTGCATATTTGACTTACAGTGTTTTTTAACCATGGGTGAACTTCCAAGGACAGCCATTGCAGCATCTGTACCCACCCTGGTCAACTCTGTGGATGCATCTTAGATGCCTTGTAGCTGGAGATGCTTGGGGAGATACAAGAGTGCAAAACGAGACAACTTCTGCCACCAAGCTGACTGAATATGCTCCATCATTCTCTCCGGCAGTGCAGGCCAGGAAGTCACAGCTCCGATTCCAGTTCAGTGAGCTTCCCCAAGGACATGCCTCCACCTAGCCCTGTGCAGCTTAGCAGCTGCCGACTTCTCATGAGCAAGGCCAAGAAGGAACAGATACCCACAGGTGATTGTTCGACAACATCCAGATGTTGTGTGGTCCAGCCCAGGCCAGGACTCAGGATCCAGTTCAGGAACACAGTCCAGGTTCCCTTTCAGAGTTTCATTTTCACCTCACTTATCTGCCAGCTCTCCTAGTGGTAAATAATCAATCCTTCAATTGGTTCTGGAATTACAGCACTAATGGTCTGCAAAGATAGTCGTGTGGTATTCACTGACTGGAGAAAGACCCAGGAAGAACCAGCTCCTAAACTTCAAAGCCTTTAACCCACTTAAAACACACCCGAACCTTTGGAGATTATATGCAGTTTAGCCAAAAGATATGGAAAGCCTGGAGATAAGATAGACTGTCCAAACCTCTCATGGAAGCTGTGAAAATGCTATCAGGATCATCTCTAAAAAATGCAAAGCACCCTAAAAGTCCAATCAGTCATTTGGCAAACATTTCCCTGGACAGATAAGAGACCCGGGTGAGAGGAGATGGGACAGAGCTCATTCGGGAAAGATCGACAGTGAATAGCCAATCTCTTGGTTCATCCAAGTCCATTCTTCAAGATGTATTAAAAATGACAGTTCAGGAGGGGTCAGTATAAGCAGCTGAGCCTTGGAAACAAAGGAGTCACGTTATTCTTCTGGAATTCAAGTCTGCATTTCACCTACTTTATCTGGTCCACATTCCAAGGCCTTCTCCTGAAAAGGTTGGTAAACAGACAACCCCGTCAGAAACCGGGCTGGATGAGTTCAGAAGGCCTGCTTCTGCTTCCAGCTGAACTTCCACTCCCGGCTGGCTGTCCTACCTGAGCACCAGGTTGACACGCACTCACACACCCGCCCGCAGTTCTCTTACACACTCTCATTGGCCCTTCTAAGCAACAGGACAAAGCAGCCATCCGCCCCACTGCAAACCCCATTAGGACAATCTTGTTCCTCATCAGTCAATGACAGGGAGGCCTGAACTCCTTATCCCCTAACACCCAGAACTTACTGCATGCCGGGATCTGTCTGAGTGCAGAGCCTAGCAATGAGGATGAGGGATGGTGGGTGTTCTGGAGGGCTCACTGAAGGGGGCAGAGATTTCTCTGACTCTTGGCTGCACAGTGAGCTCCAAATGAGGAGCCACAAGACCCTCAGGGCTTTACTGATGTGCAGAGCAACATCACAGGGACTCACTGCTTCCAGAATATGCTTTTCAGGTAAAATACTTTTATGACTATTTACAATATTTTTTTTTGTTGCCTTCTCCGGGGTTACAACGATTTGTTGTAGCAGAAACATTACCATTCCTCTCACCATGAGGAGTCCAAAGGAACTAGATTTGCTCATTTTGGCAGGGTTATTTTTTTTTCAGCCAACTGTAGTTATAAAGTGGGGTATTTGCTGCATGGAATGAACAGACCAACTCATTGTTGAAACGGGTAATTAGAGAGTTGTAGTTTAGAGAGGTGAAGCAACATGTCTCAGACCACACAGCTTCTTTATATGTATGTATCTATTTATTTATTTTTGGGGTTTTTTTTTCGAGACAGGGTTTCTCTGTAGCTTGGAGGCTGTCCTCGAACTCACAGAGATCAATCTCCCTCTGCCTCCCGAGTGCTGGGACTAAAGGCATGCGCCACCACTGCTGGACTCACACAGCTTCTTAGCAGTAGGATGGGGTCTATGAAGTCAGCTCTCTGCTAAGTTTCTAGTATTTTGTGCTGTCATGTTTACTAACTATGGATTCCTTGTTATACAAGTCTAAAATTAATGACCAAATGTTTTATGCTTGAGTTATTCTCCCCATACGTGGGAATTAGCCATGTGTTCTGGATAGCGGTAGCCGAGTTCCTAGGTCCTCTGGAAGCTGATGTCCTCTGACTAAGTCTGGCCCTCCTATGATGCTTTTTAAGAATGGATCAAAAGGCATCCCTTTCAGCAGGCTGATCCCCTCCTTGCCTAGAACGAAACCCAGCCTGAAGCGTCATGCAGCAAGACAGGCCGGGATGGAGAGGTTGACAAGACCGTGAGGTCTGGCTACAGTTGCCTGGCAAGGAGAAGGCTGACGTACAATAAGGAGACAGGTGGACAAAGACAAGCACCCAGGAGTAGACCTTCCCAGTCCCAGACAAGAGTGAAGCGAAGAAGGGACCACGCTGGCCGACTCAGGCCAGGATGTAGAGGCCGAGTCTCCTGGCACATTCCCTGACTCCAGGATCCAGGGCAACTAAGAGCTAGAGGGTGTGGGTCTGCGACTCAGTCTCCCCTGCCTGAGTTGCCTCAGGACCCGGCTGGCCACTAGTCCTCAGATACAGGGGAGATAAAGGTGAAGGGGGAGCATCAGGGGCCAAGCCAGAGTCTGTATAATTTAGGAATTAAGGTCCATCAATCCAGACAAAGTAAAAAATCAACACAAAACTGAGTTAGAAGCCTAAGAAGCAGTGGGCATTTCTCTCCAAAATTAGAAAAGTAGAAATGGTCTCTCAGACCAAGTCAGAGAAGGAAGATCAGGGGCTGGGGCCGTGAAGAGTATTTTTTTTCTCTTTTTGTGTTTGCTAAGACTCTTCAGGGCTTTCCTTTCCTTAGCTCCCGAGTGATAACCAGTACTCCCGATCAACGTGTTTCTGATAACAAATTTGTGCTGTGACGGTACCCCATAAATAACAGTGATATTCCACAACAGGCCAGACTTGAGCTTTGTCTAGGAGTGAAAGATGTATCTAGAAAGAAAGATTTTCTAGGAGTAACAGCCCAGGCGGTAAGAACCACACACAGAGATCACCGAAAGTGCCTTCCAAGACTCCCTGGGTCTGGATGCAAGAGACGGGTCCCCTCTCCACTCTCCATCCACATTTCTGTAGGCACAGGGCACCACTGCCCCAGCCCGTCTCAATCCTACAATTCAGAAAGCGACAGGCTCATCAGGCCCGGGGAATCCTGTGCAGATTCTGATTTCCAGGCTTCTCTAGTAGAAAGCAGGCTTCTGCGGACCCCGCTTAAGATACGTATTCGAGGCTTGGCCTTGGCAATGCTCACTCACGTTCCTCTGCACAGCAAGATTCCATGTTTCCTCTTGTCATTCCCAAATCTTTGTCCTGTCTCTCACTCCCCCGAATCCAATGACCCTTTACCCTGAGCTGACCAATTCTTGAAGCAGCTGTCTGCTTGGGGTTCCCTGCTTTGGGAACCCAGCATGTGAGCCTGACTAAAAAAGTTAAGTCGCTCATCCAAGATCATGAGATTGGTGAAATGAAAGTAAGAGCTGAGAGTGTGGTGTAGTGTCAAGGACAGAGTCTTAGTCAGTCTTACCATTGCTGTGAAAAATGCCATCACCAAAGCAACCTGGGGAGGAAAGCGTTTATTTGGATTACACTTCCACATTGCAGTCTAGCGTTGAGGGAACTCAAACAGAGCAGGAACCTGGAGGCAGGAGCTGATGCAGAAGCCATGGAGGGGAGCTGCTTACTGGCTTGTTCATCATGGCTTGCTTACCCTGCTTTCTTATAGGACCCAGGACCACCAGCCCAAGGATGGCACCACTCATAATTAATCATTAGTTAAGAAGTGCTCTATAGTTGGGTGGTGGTGGTGCAGGCCTTTAATCCCAGCACTTGGGAGGCAGAGGTAGATAGATACTTGTGAGTTCAAGGCCAGCCTGGTTTACAGAGCAAGTTACCGGACTGCCAGGGCTACCTAGAGAAACCCTGTCTTAAAATGCCACCGCCCCCCCAAAAAAGAGAAAGAAATGCCCTGCCTCTATCAGGTTGATGCAAAACCAGCCTGCATAGACAGGTCCACCCTAAATTGACATACACATATTTAAGAAGAAAGAAAGAAAGAAACAAACAACAACAAAACCCACCCAATTTTAAAGCTTTCCTATCAAAGGCCAAGTTTTAAGACGGAGACTCTGGATATAGCCACAATGGCCTGTGGTTATTGAAAGACCATAATGCGAAATGATGGTACCTTGCCATGGTGACTCTCTGACCAGCTAGCTTAGAACTCATACCCACAGCTCTTTGGTGTCCCTGGTGTTTTGCCAGCATACATAACCCCCTAAAAATTCCTACAGCATAGAACTTGCTACTTGATTTAATCTGATCTTTTCTAAGTTACTCAACCACTGCTCTCTTGCATTCTATCTTTATCTATCCCCTGGGGTTCCTAATTGTTCTGAGAACTGGTTTGGGAAATAGTGAGAAAGCCCTGTTTATTGAATAGGGTTTTTGAAGTTCCTGGTTCTTGATTTATTAGCTAGAATGAATGATCAATAAACCTTGTGTGACTAGTGATCTGTTGACACACGCACTGCAGTGAAGTGTGCCCTCAGTGTTTTCGTTTTTTAACATCAAGAGCTTAGCAAAAGGACGCGAGAGTAGTTATACTATATTCTGTCATCTCAAAACCCTCCTTTGCAGCCCTGTAGTTATGCCTTCTGAAGTTGCTGCGCTTGGGTTGCGGCTACCACGCTGGAAAGGGATCCATGTCCAATAGCCTATCTTTCTGGAGGGTCAGAATGTTCCAGGCCTGAGACGTCTTAGTTCAGGACCTAGAGAAGATTGCTAGATACTGTCAGTGCCAACTAGAGGGCCTCAGAAGGGAGAAGCTGTTGCCAGGGCCACACCCTCCAGCGTCAGAGCTGGCATTAGAATCCGATCATCTGGTGCCTCCGCCAAGAACTCTTCCCTGTCCTCTGCCTCTTCATCCTGGAAGCCACGATGGAACTGCTTAATACAGGTAAGATGGCCAGAGCCCACCACTCTTGACGCTGGCCTTAGTTCTAGACTGCACCAACCCAAGTGCCTTCAGAACGGAGTATGTTATTTTGGGGCCCTAAAAAGAGACCTGGCGTTTTAAAAAAGGAGAAAGCGTAAGGCAAAGTAATATTCCGGAGAGCATTCCTAGCCGATGACCAGAATACGAAGAGTTGATGAAAAGCCTTGGCTTTTTCTTGTACCAATGGAGTCGCTGGGTTGTAATGGTGGAAATGACGCAATAGGCTGCGCGGTCGCCCCCTGCCGGCTGTTGGCAGCATCGCCTTCCTGCTGCAAGCACCATGTGGCTTTGCCCACAACTTGGCATGGGCAGAGTCAGGCATCACTGCCCCTGGAGATTTATTTCCTCTTTCAGCAAATGGCTAAATGCCGGTTTGACCCCTCCTTGATTTCTATCCCAATCTAGCTCAATATGCAAGCTTAATTGCCACACAGCTTTCTCAATGTTTTTCTGTCCTGGTCTCCCAACTAGCGAAAAACTTCTCTTGGGCCTGGTTGAATCTAAAAACATAATATTGGTGGAAATAATTTGTTAATCCTTTGAAACATTGGGTGTCCCGTGCTACCGTCTCGCCAGCAAGAACGATGCGGCACACTTAGGATCCTTCTGCAGAACAGCTTTAATGCGTCTTGAGAGGGAGAGCATAAGCTTACAGAGCGACCCGGGGAGCGAAAAGCCCAACCCTTATATAGCCCAGCAGTCCCCGCCTCGGACGTGTCATCTCCTGACTGGCTCCTGCTCGTCAGCCCATATGACGCCACGGGAGAGGCAGAGAGTAAGGGATGGAAAAGTAGCAGGTACATGCGCACCAAGGTTGTTTACTCCAACCGACAACGGATGTCGGCGCCATCTTGTAACGGAGAATGTGGGGGCGGCTCACCACAATTGGGGACGTAGTCTCTTCTGTAACCTTATTTACTGAACTTTCCCCGGTCCGTATGTCTGCTGTTAAATGCCACAGGTATGGGTATTTACATTATCATTCCCCTTAAAGTAGTGGCTAGAGTTTCTCTACTACTCAACATTAACCTTAATGCTTTGCTTGTTGTCTGCCCATGCCCAGGCTGTTATTTCTCCCTTCGACATCTGGCCTCTCCCTAACCCCTTCACTCTTCATTGTGCCATGGCCTCCCCGCCCCGTCCCAAGTGAGGCCAAGATGGAGTGATCTCGTGCCCTCCTCACAATCTCCATGTTCTTGTTTCTTCATCTCTCAGGACAGTCTGGCCCTATCCATCAACCACTGAGAGGATCTCTTCTGAGATCCCCAGTGATGCCGCAGCGTCAGCCCTCATGGGACTTGATGACTGTGATTCTGAGGACTGTTTATGCCTGGAGAGGCACTCTATGTCCTTGGCTGTGAAGCCCCATATCCATTTGTCCCCCATGAACTTGGTAGCCCTGTAGCATTTAGTATAAGCAAGAAACTCTCCTGAACAAATAATTCTGTCTGTCCTCATTTCCTGACTAGATTTCTACCTAATAGCTAAACCATCATAGTGCAATTTCTGCTTTGCCTTTTGAAAATCAAAGAACCTGATTTCAAATTTCCTCTCCTATATCATTTCCTTAGGAACTGTGAAACAGCAGTTGCATCATCTTCAGACCTGCATTTCTATGCTGGTGGCTCACTGAATTCTTACCTCTGGGCTAATGAGTCCCAAGGACTTGGACTGACACATTCCATTTGATAAGCACATTGAATTTTGGCCACTGGTATGATTTTTTGCACACACACACACACACACACACACACACACACACACACACACACACACACACAGCAACGGTACACAGAGGCACCTCAAAAGCTGTTTGAGGCTTAACTGTCAACAGCTTTATGAATTTTAATGCTTCAGGGATTTAGTTTTTGCCACAAGCCCAGGTGTAACTTATTGACACCAGGAACAGCAGAGACAGCAGGTTTCCAGGAAGAGGAAGTGGGCACTGACCTCTGGCCATGACATCTGTTCCTGCACGCTGGCCCAGAAGCTGGAGGCTAGTTCCTGTGGGACCTGGGGGATTATCCAACTGTGAATCCATTTTACTTTGGTTGAATTAATTCAGCCTGTGTTCCTGATTTCAGGATTTCAATATTTGGTCACCCAATGTTTGGCTCTGCCAAATACCACTACTCTAGGCTTTTGAATACATACTTATCAATAATAATAAAATTAATTCTGATGAACCTAATTGGAAGAATTTGGCCACACTCTTTGGGAACCTTGGAATACCACCCAACGTGCTCTACTCTGAGATTCAAGCTGGGACTGTGGGTCAATTTCAGAGCCTTCTCAGCACAGGCCCAATATTTCTCTGTGCTTTGGAACTGTTGGATAGCAGCGTAGAAGTTGTGGGTGAGCCCGGCAGTCATATAAGGGGAAACTTAATGGCTCTCTGAACAGCCTCTCTCATTGGATAGAATCGCAAAACCAACAGTGACATTAGAACTGTCCTGGAGATGAGTTTTGTGTCTCTCCCCAAGAACCTCCCTCTGAGGAATGCCTACAAGCCAGGCACTGAATGCCACAGAAAGAGACACACCCTTCCGTCTGTCCCTTTGCTCCTTACCAAACACAGCACGGGAAGCTACTGTGAGCACTGTGAAGTCATGCTCATCTCTTCTGCAGAGTGGCCCTGGCTGCGCCCTGTGGTCTAGGGCAGAGGACACAGATCTTTGTTCTGAGGAAGGTGCTATGATTAACAAATGGAATTAGATGTTTCTACCCTGTTTTACCTCCTCTTGCCTCACTTACCTGCCCGGGATGAGATACCACAACTAGCCTGAACAGGTTTTCAGAGGCACACTAAACCACTTTCCCTATTCTCTTCAAGAAGAGAGTATGTGAAAATTAATACCAACATCAAGCCGGGTGAGGTAACCCAATTCACAGGTGGCTTTTCACCTCGCCTGAAGTTTGGCAAGGAGTCTCCTTTTCCTCTCCAATTTTCGCTGCATAAGCCATATGACATTTGAGAATTTATTTGCAAAAGAGGTTTGGCCATGGCTGTTAAGTACACTTGCCACATGTTTCTGCTTGGCCTAAGCCATCCTTTGGCAACAGACAAGATGCTAACCAAACCAAGGCTATATGTCATTATGGTACAGACGACCTTCTTTCCTTGCCATTGGACAACCAGTTTCTCCTTAAGAATACATGTCTACTGTCAGTTACACTGAGAGAAGAGCTTAACAACCTCCAGCCAAGGCCCTGCAGCAAATGCTTACCAATCATTGGCGGGTGACAGATACTCTAAACGACACAGATACAGTTCCTCACCTCAAGGAGCTTACAGATTGAATGTGTAGAGTTAGACACCTAAAATACAGATGAGTGAGCTGGAACGTGGTGGCAAATGAGTTATCCAGAATGCAACCCAGACATACAAAGCAATGGGAAGTTTTTTCCCCTCGACGGCCAAAATCATACAGAGGTTAAAGTAAGAATTTCTATCATGTATTTAATTGGGGATCTAAAATGAAATTCTAGAGGGAATGATGAAGAACTAATATTCAAAGAGATAATAATTGAGGGTTTTGCAAATATCCATTACTACTTTTAAAGTAACTGTGCATTGGGAACATCAAGACTGAACAGGTCCCTCTAGAGTACAACCTATGTGGTTTCTGAGGACATCAAGGACCTCTGAGAAGTCCTAGCTTTCAGGGGACCCTCACATAGGTCTCCCCACTTCTCACAGCCTAGGATGACCTTGCTATTGTTGCTCCCATAGTCTTTGTGCATCCTTGGCTCATCAATGTTTTTGCAGTCCTCACCACAGGAAATGCAATGAGATACAAGTTGCAAAGAATTCATCTTGAGTTCTGAATATATGACCTCATTTTACCCAGTCATATAGTAATAGGACATTTTGAGATATTAGAACAACATAATTGCCAGGATTGGCATGGTACTTGCCAACCACAAAGAGCATTTTAGTGCACTGTAAGTCTCTTCAGTACAGTACCTTGATGACAGTCACTGTTGTTTTTTGTTGATCTCTATCAGTTCCTCGAGAGTGTGGCACTAGCACATGAATGATAGCTAGATATTTGCTCACATTTCTGAAGAAATAAGTACAATGATACATATATTGCATGGATCCAAAACTCAGTTTCTTTGGATGGACTATGAACTCAGACATGAAAACTAGGATCCAATATAGACCGCCCCGACTTCTTCACTTGTGTGCATGAAAGAAAGCAGGGCCAAACCCCTCAGAAGCTCTAACACTGCCTTGTGTTGCCCCTCGCATTCTCTCTCAGGCATCATCAGTATCCTCCATCTTCAAGCACATTTTACCTTCTCTCATTCATAAAGTTTTCCCCAAAATGGAAGCAAGGCGCGTGAACACACAGAAAGCAACCTGAGTCATTCTTTTGTTCCCACCCTCTTCTGCCACCCCACCTACAGTTCAGTTGACATGCTGATCATATTTCTTCCTAGAAAATACAAACTTCTTAAGAACGCTAGTTGTCTTATACAACTCACATCATAGTGGTAGACCACACCTGGCATCTACAACTGTGGAAATTAAGGATAGACTTTAGAACCACTCATCCCGAGTTTGAATCTTAATTCTGCTACCTCTTAGCTCTGTTACAGTGGTATGCATCAAACTCCACAAACTGATAGTAAGGCCCCATTGCTAAGAACAATATTTGTGGATCTCACTGGACATGGAAAAGCTGAGCTGGTGCCTAACTAGAGCTCTCTATTGTACTCTCTTCATGGAGACCAAACGACCATGGGGAACTCATTTATGAGTGACAAAAGGGCCTGAGCCTCACAACCCAACCTCAACCTTTTGGGAGATGTCATTCTGTAAACATGTGTCTGATTGGTTTGAATAAAGCACTGCTGGCCAATAGAGAAGCAAGATAGGTGGGACTAGGAGTCTAGGTGGATTCTGGGAAATGTAGTAAAGAGACTGGTCACCATGTGATCTCTCGGGAGCAATGGGCACTCAGGAGTGCATCCTCAAAAAGATAAGTGCTTATACTATATATATATTAGTAATTATGGGTTAATAATCAAGTCAGAGCTAGTCCATAAGAAACCAAGCAAATGGCCAACAGCTTCATAATTCATATAGTGTCTTGTGTGTTATTTGGGGGCTGAAAGTGCCAACAAGATCCAGGCGGCGGGCAGGAAGAGTACACGTTACACCTACCACTGACTTTGATGACAGTAGGGAGGAGGTAAGAACATAGTCTTCAGGGTGGGAAGTGGTGTGTGACTCTTCTGGAGGCTGGTGGTGCTCACACATACCAGGACACTGCATTTAACTGCTCTTGGGAGGGGAACTATGATGGGAACCTTTCAGCCCTCAGCCTTACACAGGAGTGAATCTGGGCAGAGAGTCACAGTGTGGTCAGCAGATAGATGGAGACCTTCAATTTCTTTCTGATTCATTAAAAACAATTAAGCTGGAGACACGAACAGATGACTTCAGTGGCCTGAGGCATTTCGACCAGTGTTACGTTACCTCTGAGCAGAGTTTCAAACATGAGGCATCTGGAGTGCAGGGACCACTGAGGATGATCATCTGTCTCTATGGAGACCCTGCATCTGTGACCAGATGGGAATGGCCTGGGATAGGAGCTTTATAGAAAGAAACACTGGGCAACCAGGAGCGTTCAAGAATGATGACGACTCCACATCCTGGCAACTGTGCACAGGGTGTGTGGTCTCAGAAGTGAGGAAGCCAGATTAGAGTTCTAATAGGCAGGGCTTGGTGACTCCTTGCCAAGGCCACTAAGCTGGTGCTCCCCGCACTGGGCCATCACCACATGGAGCAGATAGAGCATTTGTACTACTGAACACACTGGGTCAGGATCACAAATTCCATCTCCTCTCCCAATATCCATCAGCTTCTCAACCGTGAGTGGGCATTGCACTAGATGACTGACCATCCAGTGCTGACCATGGCATTACCTCAGGTATCTCAGACAAAACAGGAAAGGACAAACTGTGTGGAAGCAGAAACCTAATTTCCTGTTGTACCAACCCCGTATAAATGGCTCCGGTGTGTCCGCCAGCCAGTGCTCATCTTTGCCTTCCAGCCTCAGGAGAGCTTCAGGAAATAACCTGAGATTATTTTCAGAGTGACACACTTACCTTTAGGTTTCTTGCCAGCAGGGCCAAGACAGAGCAGGAAAACACCAAAACCAAACCCAAAACCTATTCTGTTAGATAAAAGTCACAGCTCAAAGGTGAATAATTCATTCCCACCCCAAGCATATGCATCGGATTTCTACCTTTGTCCAGCCTTACTGTTCATTTTTGAAGGGGAGGCTGCTTCATAGGAACTGGAGGGAAGTCTTTTGTACGGTTTTACTGGAAGATGGGGATAGAATCAGCAATGGAGTAAGACAAAGGACAAATCCACAGGTATAGACATCCTGCTGGCCCCTGAATACTTTTTTAGCTCCGCCCAGAAGACATCCAGTCCATTGCCAGCTCGGCAAGGTGAACCTTTCTTCTGAAGCAAAAGATTTTGTGTCCACCTGTATTTGGCAGCCACAAAGCTCGTCATACGCTGAGAGAGAGAGTGTAAGGGTTGGATCGCACGCCGCCTCGTCTTTTGGTGTATCATAGCTGAGTCACATTCATGCCGACACTCAGAGAACATAAATAGAAAGATCGGGGGGGAGATCTGTGTGTCTTGGGCTTTTCAAGTCCTTGTTAGATGTTCTGTCTTCCCCAGAATTCTTACCTATGAAGAAACAAGACCAAAGGAGGTCTTGCTCCATTCTTGGAGTGTCTTGGTCTGGAAGCTCGATGGAATCACAGAGAGCACACCTTCATTTCTTAGAACAGAGAGTCTGTTCTAGTTCAAGGTTAGGAGGAAGAGAGTAAGCCTTCTCCAGAAGTGGGCCTTGGACTGAGTTCTCTGGGCTAGTGTGATTCCCCAGCCTTTGCCACCTCAACCCCATCCACTGATTACTCCAGCAGGAATCAGTTCATCAGGGCACATAGGACGATGCAGGTGACTTACCTGTTTAACTCTCCTTCCTTCTTAGTGGTTCCCAACCTTCCTAATGCTGCAACCCTTTAATACAGTTCCTCATGTTGTGGTGGCCTACAACCATATAATTACTTCATTGCTACTGCATAACTGTAATATTGTTACTGTTATGAACTGTAATGTGAATATCTGATTTGCAGAATATCTGATATACAACCCCCAAAGGGGTCTTGACCCACAGGTTGAGTGTTGTGCCCAAACTCTGATTCCCAAAACCACCAAGAGACTAGATCCGACGCAAAAGCAAATAGTCTTTTTAATTTATAAGTTAATTGGAGTAAACCTGGGTCCTTTGTCCATCTGACACAGTGAGTGGAGTAGGAGGGACCTTGAGCAGCAGTGGGGCAGGGAATATATTGGGTTAGAGCAAGGGGAGTGTCTAGGAAATCTGCTAGTTGCATAGCAACAGTCTCAGGATTGGTGCACCTCCAGGCTGGGGAGCCTGTCCTGAATTGATTTGCCAGCTGCAGTTGCAGAAGTGTTGCTGTATCTAGAGACCCTCCCAGGGTGGTTGCTATGTCCTGCATTCCACTATTATCAGTAAAACACATCCAGAGTCTGCCAGCTAAGTAATGATTGGTTCCTTGCCACATGGAGGGCATCTGGCAGTTGCTTTCTAGTGATTAGGACAAAGTCAGGGACTCAGCACATGCTGCCGAGTCAGGGGTCTACATCTTGCTGGGTCTTTTCTTCAGCCTGCCATGGCTGCCAAAGCTGAGTGAGGGTCTGGGTCCTTCATTGAGAACCGCTGCTTCAGAGCTTCCTAAAACATATGTTATCTTATTGACCTTCTTAAGTCAAACAAAAAAAATTCTGGTATGTTATGCCAAATTGGTTACCCTAAAGAGTTCTGGCATGTATTTACCATGAAGAATGCTGCCCTCAAGAGGAAGAAGTGAGTGATGTTGAAGTACAAGCCACAATGCTGAGGTGACCCTGGAAAGTCAGTATGTCAAATGTGTCAACAGTTATTTCTCAAGCAAGCCCTGAAAGGCATAGCTCCTTCCCCAAGGAGCTTCTACTATTTGCTGGGAGAAGGGAAGGGTGGGGGGGGAGGGATGTCAGGGATAATCATCAAACAATTAAAAGACAGTAAAATTTAAGGTAAACAAAGGCAGAGTTTTCCAGAGCTTCCCAGAGGGAAATCTGAGACAGGAAAGCTCAGGAGGCCATTTAGTCTATTATGTGGAAGTCTCACCATTAACTGCCCCTCTGGAGGGTTCACATAATTAGCACTGTGCTGCGCAATTACTACAATTATTATTTCTCAAGATGCAGAGTTAAAACACCCTTAAAAGGACTTTGGGGAAAAAAGAGGCAAGGGTGTGCATGTATGCAAGACTCTGTGTGTGTGTGTGTGTGTGTGTGTGTGTGTGTGTGTGTGTGTCAGAGAGAGAGAGAGAGAGAGAGAGAGGTGAGGGGAGGAAGGGATGAAGGGAGAAAAGAGAGGAAGGAGATGAGGAGAAGAGAGAATCAAGGAGGGAAAGAAAAGGCGAATGAGAGGAGAAGAGAGTAGGGAGGGAGAAGGGGAGAGATACCCAGTCCAGACTAACAGCTTATTCCTTTTTTAACAATCCCCTAGGATCAATAAAGAATTGTTTAAGCCATCATCATCCACAAATGCTTCTAAGATAATTAAACATATGAGAAGCATTTAATGTGATTTCCAGGACACTGCATATGAAAACAGATTGCACACCAGGTAAGAGACACCCCACCCCCAGTCCCCAGACTGTCTGATGGCAGGATGTTTGCAAACCGTGCTCCGAGAGAAGAGAGTAGATAGCGATAGAAGGGATTAATTATGTCATTAAGTAGTATATAATTATCAAGCACATTTAACATCACTGTATTTGTGCCAGTTTCCAAGATAAGTTTACATCATTATCTTACACTATTCCCGGAGCTGTTTAGTGTGCTTTTCTGAAGTGCTATGGTCCTAAGGAAAGGTCTGTGCACTGGATTTAGCTTTCATCCCTGGGCAGGAGGAGAGATGGGTGATAGCAGAGCTTCAGTACGTCAGCTTATGTTGAAACATGCTCTGCCTCTGCCGTGGAGGTAAAAATGGCTCTGAATGCTTACCTGGTAAAGAGCAGAGTACTGTCTTTCCAGTCCCTCTCCTAAAGTGAAGTACAATATAAAAATACTGAAAGGTAAAAACTGTAAACGCTGTCATCTTTCACGAACGTAGGAGACAGTCACAACCCCAAACCACAGTCTATGGAGAAAGGGTGTCAAGTCCGGTGACATTGGGACCAGACTAGGGAGACACTTTGGGTTAGACCGAGTGTTGTGACTCTGTGATGGGATGCGGTGTTCTCTGGGAGGGGCTGAGCTACCTCCGACTGAAGTGTCAGTGCACAAGTGGTCTCTGGGAGGGGCTGAGCTACCTCCGACTGAAGTGTCAGTGCACAAGTGGCCTCTGGGAGGGGCTGAGCTACCTCCGACTGAAGTGTCAGTGCACAAGTGGTCTCTGGTGGCCTGAGAAAGTTGCTAGAAAATTATCCAGAACGAGGCAGCTTGAGGCCAGAGAAAGCCTGATTCAGCAAAATGGCCCAGCGCACTACCCTGATTCTTAGATTAAGGCTATAATCCACTCTTCAAGCCAAATCTTAGTCAAATCCAGGCTATCTAAACCGTTATTAGGCATGCTTTCTGGGCCATTGAAGATTTATTTATTTTATTTAGTTAGACCAACATGTTTATTCTAAACAATTAAACAGCCCTAAAAATGAGGTATATACTTTTCTGCATTTTTAATGGCATACATCCAATAGCCTAAGTATTTCTCTATAACTCAAGGTCATTTCAACTGACCCCAATTATCACAAATACTTCTGTACAATAATGGCTTTAGGATATAAATTTTGGTGGACCTTAAACCATACTTTATATCTCTTATATTTTATTCAAATACTCCCTCCCCATTAGTTTCTTATAACATTTCTAACTAGCTCTCCCCTCAAACATTAGTAGCAATCTGTAATAGATTCTACTTTTTAGGAGTCCAATGTCTCAGTCTGAGTTTGTTATAACTGGTAGTTATTGAGGTTTTCCTCAGCAGCTGGAGTATGTTGCAAAGATTTCTTTCTCTGGTTAAGTGAGAATGATTTAATAATATACAGAGGTGACTATAAAATGTACAAATACAACCCGATTAAACCCAACCAACTTCTACTGAACTGGAGCTCAAAATCCTGATAGCCTTTTAAGATATGTTACACAGAGTGACGTGAGCTGGAGGGCAAAACAGAGTGGTGATTCCAGTCAAGTATGATTGAAAGCTGTTACTTTGTAGTTACACAAAATCTTTGACCTGATGGACACATCAGAAGAGCCACTCGCTGTGGACTGGCCTTTTCCTGATCTACAAACATAAAACAAGAATCTTGAGCTATGCTGACACCTATCTATCTATCTATCTATCTATCTATCTATCTATCATCTGTCTACCTACTATCATCTGCAATCTATCATCTATCTATCTATCTATCTATCTATCTATCTATCTATCTATGTATCTATCTATTTATCTATCATCTATCTGTCTACCTACCTATCATCTAGCAATCTGTCATCTGTCTATCTATCTATCTATCTGTCTATCTATCTATCTATCTATCTATCTACCTACCTACCTGCTTACCTATCCATCTATTCTTGCTTCCTCTCTCTTCTTTATTCATAATTTCCTTCTTGGGCTTGAGAAATGTGGCTTTCATTATTCACAGTGCTTTTACTTGGCTTTTCAGTCCCAGCTGACACACAAGATAGCAGTTTCAGGACTGCTACACCAAGTTCCCTGAGACATACATTTACCAACGCTTGTGGGATACTATAGCATTTGTACATAGACCTTTGTGCAACAGCCTTTAGTATATATAGTCACAACAGTGTTTTCTAGAGCTCATTAGTTAGTCCTTGCCTTTTGGTCCTAATTCTCCTAGCACAGCGTTTAAATTTAAATAACTATTGGAAAGGAGGGGGTGTCCTCATTAGCATTAATGGTCTTCTTGACACAGCCTAGAATCACCTGGGAGGAAAAAAATAGTTGCAACTGAGTGATTGTCTTCCTCAGGTTGCTCTGTGGGCCTGTCTGTGAGGGAGTGTCATGATTGTTAACTGATGTGGGAGGGACCAGTCCACAAAGGGATCTTTCCTTGGACAGGCAGTCCTGGACTGTCTGGGGAAGCTGGCTAAGCATGAGCCTGAGGGACTCAGTCAGCAAGCAGCGTCCTCTACACTTGTTCTCTCTTGGCTGTGAGTGAGGGGCTCATGGATTAGCAAGTAGTCCCGCCTTCAGGTTCCTGTCTTGAGTTCCTGCCCTGACTTCCCTCAGCAATGACCTGGAAGCACTGGCTATGACCTGGAAGTATAAGAAGAAACGAACTCTTGCCTCCTCTCAGTTGCTCTTGGTCAGAGTGTTTTAGCACAGCAAGCGGAAGGAAACCAGATGAAAGCAGTGTGACATTCGTCTAGTTGAGCAAACAGATCAGTGTAGTGCAGTGTGCTCAGAGAAGCACTCCTGCCCCTTGTCTTCAGCACTCTGCTCTCCCTTGCATCGTGTTTTCCACACATCCTGCAAGCAGCCAGGAGGTCCATCCCTTGTATGTTATGATCACCAATGAGCCTGCGTGTGCACATGCCTCCAGCAGCGCTGGGTTCTTAGCTAGAGGGAAGCACACTATGCATATTCTTTGCACTTGGCTATTTCACAGTGAGAACTGTGTACTGGAAAATCAGCACTTGTCACTTCATAGACGTTCTTCACCCTGCTTTTGATTTTAGTCACATGTATTCCGTATATGAATGAGCCGTAGCTGACTCAGGCGTCTTCTGTTTGCAGGCATGCACATTGTTTGCTTTTCACAAATGACCTTGTGTGTATGTGCTTTCCTACTATTGGAGGTGTCTCCTGGATCAGATTTGCAAAATGGGGTTGCTGGGCAAACGGGAAGTTTCTCTGCAACTTTACAAGAAACATATTTCACTGTATCAAGAGCCTGCCAGTTTAAATTCCTACAGGTATGCACATGAGGATCTACTCACCCTCAACGTCACAAACAGAATGTGTTATAAACAGTAATTTTTGCTCAATAACACAACAGGCATGAAATGATATATTAGTATTTCATTCCTATAACTAGGGATTTAAACAACTTTCCTATTTAAGGCTATTTATTTTTTACAGCATTCCGTGTGAATCGTCTACCCATTAACACAATCCAGCAATAAAGGGGCTCAGATGCTTTGAGATCAAAACAGGAAAAATACGCCTTGCAGTTGATAAGTTCCTGTTTGTCCTGTTTGTTGGCCCCATCTGCACCAGATGTGCTTAATCACATGAGGGCAGGAGGTACGTGGACAGGAAATACATCAGGTTATATGCTTGCCCTTGATTGGACCTGATGGGAAATATGGTGAATTCTGGGTTTTGCCTTTTTAAGCAAACATGACTCATGGCCATTTTCTGGGAACTCAGAGATGGGCCTAGCCAGAGTCCATCCTCCTGGCCAGTATTTAATTAAAGCTTGCTTCAAATTTGCTTAAGATTGTGGTAGTGGTCTTATTCTTGACTGTTGGGTTTACAATACTTTCAGATCTTGTTCCAGGATGGGCTCTGACTTGACTGAGTATCAGACCTGGGAGCCTCAACACCAACGCCCTCCTGGGACCTATCCATGTACCCAGATTACTGGGTAGACAGACTTCCATTCATCTTGCAAGTGATCTGAGACTTCATCTTGCAGGGAGGGTTTTTGTTGCTGCTGTTATTTTGAGCATGCTCTGTGATCTATGTATTCAAGGCCTTGGTTATTTTTAGATTTCCTGTGTCAATAAGAATCATTTTTACAAATACCTAAGAGTAAGGCTTGTGTGTTAAGTAGAAATCACCAAGTTAACCATTAACACAAACCCTGAATGTCTTTATGTTTGGATCTTGGACTTTAGTCCTCATCTCTCACATTGGGAAAAGTCATTCAACTCAACATTCAACAAAGGTCAAAGCCAAATGACCTCATGGCTGGTGATTTAGTGACCCTAATTGTTGCGAATTCCTCTACTTCTCTGTTTGCAAGAGGGAGATGAACTGCTCTTGAGTTTTATTTGAATGAATCACATTGATAGTTCTTCAGAGGGAGAAAATCAACCTTGTAAGTTGTAAGTACTGCGGGGACCCCTCGTATCAGTTATATGAGGATGTGGTCATGTCAGAGTGGAGCTGGACTGGGGCCACTGAGACGCCTCTTTCTGCCACTTTCTCTTTTCATGTAAATGCATCATTGAGAACTGGGTGAACATGGACTATAGATATGTCCACATTTTCTGTGCATTTTATCTTCTCTCAATTCCCTTAATTAAAAATGCTATTGTTTGGTTGGTTATTTTAGTAGGATTTCCAAGTTAAGTAATGAAATATCTTCCTTTGCTTATTTTCTCCAGGGCTAGAAGTGAAATAACATATTGTGTCTAATTTAGATGCCACAGCTCAGTGACACCCAAACTGGCACTTCTAAGCCACACTTCCCCACACGAGTAATCTCAGCGAGGACTGTAACTTGACAGTAAAAACCCATTCTATTTACATGCAGCCTGCATTTGTTACTTACTTGGGATTAATAGAAACTGATAGATTCTTAAGATCCTCCTTACTCTGAAATGTTCATAAATCCCTCTGTAATGTGATAATAGATAAAGAAAGGACAGCTAAGGACAGCTTTTGCTGGCATCAGCTGGGACTCGATATCCTGTCTGTATCAACAGCTGTGTTTCACCTAAACCCATGATGCTTTAGCTATCGACCATGAACCAGAAACTCAAGTTCACTTTCCCTTAAAAGGGTGATTTCAAAGAGGTACCATTTATGCAAGGCTGATCATCTCAAAAGACCTTCGGAGTGTGTGGTGATGTCTCTGACTTCAGGATAAATGGAAATCTTTCAAACTCACCTCTGTCTATGTCATGTGATATTACAGGGAGCTTTTCCTTTTGTAGAAATAGAGGATAAATTGAAAATTGATTATGACTGTTTCATGGAAAACAACTTCTGTTAGAGCCCCTGGCATACCCAAATTGCTCAACGTGGAATGAAACGGGAGTCTACTTTGGAAGGAGTCCTGGCTGGAGTGTCCCGTATCCTATTTGTAAACCTTGAAAATTTCTTATCAGGGACAATGGCTTAACAATTAACAAGAAAAACACAGGCCCCTTCTCAGATTCTGAAATTTTCTCACTGAACTTGGCCAGCCACAGGTATGATGGCACAGTGCCCCGTGAGCCATTCTGACACTCTCCTGAATTAGATGTTAAAAACAATAACTTCAATTGTCTCAAAAAAGTAGGTCATTCCAAAGAATACTCTGAGAAGAGACCAAGGCCAGCATGTATATACCCTCATAAATGCACATGTGCTGGCTTCTGCAAGTGCTGGCTTACACACACACACACACACACACACACACACACACACACACACACACCACATAGAGGCATGAGTAGGATGCTAGACCAATAAATGCTTATTTCTTCACTCTAGAGCAGCTCAAACTTAGGAGCCAACCACAGATTCTTTTTCTCTTTGGTACTCAGGAAGCAGCCTCCCAAGCATTCCCGCAAGCCCTGCGGTTTGGCTCCAGCAGCTGGGAATACAAGGTCCCTTGACTACAGACGGCAGGGTTGTGGTCTAGCAGCTGCCACCCTAGGGTAGGAAACACCATGAGGACCATGTCTTGTATACTGCTTCTTGTACTGAGGGGAAGATTAGAGAAATGTTCTTCCTGGGGAATTCTTTTGGTTTGATTTATTGGGGGAGGGAACTGGACGACTGTTCCTTTGATAGTTCTCCATGGCCCTTTAGGAGCCTGGCTTTGAACTGCTGGGACCCTGTGAACTTCTGCACAAGGATATGTCTCAATTTTAAAGCTAAAGGCTTGCACAAACAATTCCAAGTCATCCTGAGCTGCAGCCTTCCAGCTTTCAAGGCACAGTCATGCACATTGTCAACAGCAGTGAGTTAGGGCCCGTGCTATTAATGGAAAGCAGAAAAAGAATACTTTGGGAAAGGTCACCAGGGACTAACTGGAGCTTCAGGAAGTGAGCAGCTATATTTACAGTCCCGGGACAGTGCAGATCTCAGCTTTCCACACAAAGAACACTTTCTTTCTGCCTTTGACATGTCACTAAGGCCAAGTGGATACATTTTGAACATCTCACGGATGGATTCCTTACTGAGCTGCAAATCCAAACTTACACGTGATGAATTTCATTACTTCCTCAGTCCACCAGAAGAATCCAAGGCCCTGAAATATCCTTTGTTCTATTCTCACGCCACACAAGGGCTTTATGGAAGGAAAAGATGGGAGCTGAGCTATGTTTCATTTCTCCCTCATCCTCTTTCCTTTCTTCTTGAGCTGTGTGCATTCACGCTGGACACCGCCCCAAGGAAGTGAGGTGTCTGAGACTTATACAAAGCTGTGCACTCTTGGGTGTGAGGGGTGAGTCTGGACTGAGGCAGTGAAAGTCAGGAGGAGATGGATGTGTTCTGTTTCCTGTGAAAATATCCTTCCCCGCCAGTAGTTACTACTGAACATACCATCATGCTGATTGTCACAGAATCCCATAGGCCAAAGGGAACCCAGGGGTTTACTGTAGCATTCTCATTCAAAATAAGAAGGAAAAGAGGTAGCGCTTGCCCAAGGCCATAGAGACACTGGTATCAAACCCAGGCCTAAAGGCAAAGCCTCCTGAGGCTCCAGCCGGTACTCGATCTCATCAAAAACCCCACAAAACTACAGAAGATGAAATGAGAGACCCTGCGATTTCCTCTGCACACGTAGATGCCTTTCATCACCTGAAAATGTTTACCTAATAGCTAACAGGGCCACTTGTGGACCTCATCATTCTGAGGGACAGGAGTCTGAGCAAGCTGGCTCTTCTCTGTGTAGTATTAGTTGTGATCCCTCGGTGGTGGTGTTTGGTGGCGGCGTTGGTTGGGAGGGACCTTGTTCTGCGCCTTGATAGAGCCCATGCTCTGGTTCTCCCCACTCCCTCCTGGCCTCGAAGCATCAGAGCGTATCTCCATGCGTACCAAACCTCTTACTGATGTAGTCCAGGGCCGTGGAAGCTGGTGAAAACTGCCCTTCCTTTTAAGGAAGCCCCTGATGTCCCACGGTTGCATCTGGCAGTTCCCCCACTGGCCACGTACCATCAGACTTCCCAGGGCTACAAGAAAGAGAACTAATCCCACCTCTTAGTGACAGAGCTGTCAAGGAATTTGTGGCCATCGTTATTCTACCACAGTGCATCCTCAAGCCACCAATTATTTATACCCCCAACACTCCCACAATTCCCACATGCTTTATCTTATTACAAAAGCAGACAAAGACTGGAGGCCCAGGGTCTGGCCTTTTACATCAAGTGTTAGTATAGAGGAGAGAAATCTGGTAGCCTTGTGGTTTGGATGTGTAACTCTCTCCGTAGGCTCTGGTGCTGGACACTTGGTTCCCAATTGGTAGGGTCTTTATAAAGATAAAGGCTGTAGAGCCTGGAGTTCTAGCTAGAGTCCTTGTTGCAGACCTAGATTACTAGGGGTAGGCTTCTGGGGTCCATAGGCCACCCCATGTTCCTGACTAGACCACTTTGCTTCCTGAGAAGCCATCACTGAAAGCCCCCATTGCCACTGACGAAGCCAGTTCAGTCCCTAAGCCTCACTACTCCTATGACAGATCCTGTACACTTCTCCGGCTTGTAAGCCAAGTGAGTATCTTCTCCCTTTATCTGCTTTTGTCAGGTGTTTGTCATGGTGAAAAGAAACTTCACCAGTTAAAGTAGGATCTTCAATATAGTCCTGCTAGTCAGAGAATTAACAAACTTGAGAGCTGGTAACTTATAGCCAACATATAATGGCCCTGCTGGGAAAAACGAATCCAGCAGACAGACACTCAGCTCAGAACTAGGAGAGGGCACAGTGGAAGTGAAAAGAGTCATCTGTTCACAGCAGTTCTGGAATACAGTTGGGCACATGTCACCTGGCTCCCCACGAGTTTATTGGACGGCCAAGGTTGGAGGCACTGTCTCACCTCATGTGAGTTAGCACATGCTAAATTGGACACACCATTTGCTGGTTTGTGCTAACGTCTGACTCAGTGTAACAACAGGATCAGGAGATCTGAAGTAAGACTATCTCAGGGAAGAATTCCAATTCTGCGATTTTTGCGCTTCTGCCAGTGTAGGATCCTAGACAAATTAATTTTCTAAGTCTTATTTTTTGCATGAATAAAAATGGAGATAAACTGTCACTTTGTAGGGTTGTATTCCCCCATATTTTCCATGGTGTATTCCTAGAGCACTTAGTTCTTCCCCTGTCATAAGACTAATCATATCTTCATAATTAATCTCTTCTTCTTCACATAACTATTGGATACATGGAGCCAAACTGTTCCTTTCTTTTTTTTGGACTCATTTTCCCCAGTGATTAGCAAAGTGTTGATAACCATAT